AGCATTGACGATGAGAAAGTTAAGAGAGGCGCGAATATTAGAGGAGACGACTGTTGTCGGAATAGTAGTTGGGATCGAGATTGCTGCACCCAATCCCTTGACCTCCCTACCATCACTCACCTCCCCAGTCCCTCCCCCTCCCACCCCTTTTCCACTGCATGTTTCCTCGACCTTCAACCCCTCCCATTTTCTTCTTTCTTTCTTCTGGTTCTGCTAAGTCAATGGCCACCGAAGAAGAAGGCAAGATATTGAAGAGGAAGAGAAAAAGTAAGAAAGTTAAAGAGGAAGAATGATCTCAGCTAGACGATTTTACGTGAACGGCTCATATTATTTGATCTTGGGAGTCCGGATGGAAATGATTCAAAGAGGATTTGTCACCAAAGGGAGGACCAACCTTTCTTCTCATCACAATTTTTGCATGCATTTTTTTTGTTTTTAATTTGTGGCCCGATGATAACGAAATTGTTAAGTTGCTTTAATTCTTTCCGCGTTGTTGTGTTTTGTGATTAAGTATAATTAATTTGAGGATTAGGTAGGGCAGCATGTGGGTTGTGGAATTATTAAGTTGGCCATACGTATACTGTATTTGCATATGCAGGGTAGGGTTGCAGCATGCAGGCTTGTAGCCCTCATATCCAATGTGAGATCCGAACTCTATCTTAGTTTCATTTCAAATATTGAAGGCTTAAATATTAAAATGATCAATGTGTTTTAGTCATTGGATCAATTTAATCTCTGTGTTTTCAATTTAGTCAATTTGGTCTTTGTGTTTATTTTCGTTAGCCAATTAAGAACATTTCCATCTAATTTCTATAAAAAAAATTATAAATCATTATAAACTTATTTATAAAATTATTTATTTGATTTAAAATATTTAAAAATGAAATAAAATTAAAAATTAAAAGAAAAACGATTCTCCTTCCAATTTCTTGACCTCCTTCCAAACATTACACTCTTTCTTTTTTATGTCACAACCTTAATCATTTTTCAGATTGGAAGTTTTATCTCTTATATGTGTTATTTCTCATTGATTTGCATTTTTCTTTAAAGAGAAAGGGTAATAATATCTCATATATGAAATTCTACTTGGGAAAATTTGAAATATGTCTAATTTTATAGGCTTACTTTTGAAATAGGTCTAATTTTTAGTGATTTTTAACTTTTGAAATATGTTCAATTTTTAGTTACTTTTGACTCATATCAAAAAACCCCTTAAAACTATAGAGTTCCTGACATGTTTTCTTATTACGTATTTACTTACTTAAAACGAAAAAAATTAGAACTAGATTAAGTCGGACCTAAAGGTAAGAAATACAAAAGATAGAAAATGGACGTTTAGTACAGTTTTTAGTTAGAATCGTGAATTGTATAATGAAATTCACATACTTCCTACTATGTGACAGAAACGCTTCGAAATCATGAAACTTTTTCTGAAACACGACGAAAGTTGGATTAAAAATGATACTCGATCAAGATCATAGGGGCAACTAATTGCCCGAATGCTATAAAGCAGCTTGCTAGCTAGGTCTTTTCGTCAAATATTTCCCAGCATGTTAAAGCTGCATCAGTTGAACTTGAAACCTGAAACCATGTGTGCATCAAACTCTGGTATAAAGTTACAGTAACTCAAATTTCTATTAAGATACTGTAAGTGATTTGATTTTTCATCAATATTCTTTAAGTAAAGGACAAACTCCACCAAGCATGCTTTACCTTTCCGTGTGTGTGTCACCATATGTATAAACCTTCGTTACCTGACAAAAAAAAACACTGACGCTAATGTATGCACTCGGTGATCTAGCAGAATTTCTTACTGAAGAAACAATTATAGTATTTAGCAGAGTGAGCCAGAAAGGCACTAGGATGGTTCCACGGCCATTCTGACATTTTTATTTTTCACGCATAAAGGTTTTTTTGTAGGCACAAGGCTCCAGTCTGATTTTTTACTTTAATTTTTTTCATCGAGTTTGATTTGAGGTTGATGACTCCTATAGAGTTCAGGTATTATGTTGCTTGTGAGCTTCGATGAGGACTTTGGTATGGGGATCAGTGGAGAGAGAGGAAGAAAGTCAAAGAGTATTGAGGTTTAGGTTTGAGAAATAAGTTGATGAGGACGACATCATACCAGACTAAACGACATTGGTTGGTTGCTCACCACAAAACAATGTAATTTTTGTAAGATCAAAAGAACGTTTTGGATTAAGACATTTGAGCTCAGGCTAAAATTCTAAACCCACTGTTACTTACAACTTGCAAGATCAGTATGAGTGTGAAGCTGCTGTGTGTCTGTGGCCGCGATTAGAGTAGAAGATTGTGAATAATATTGAAATTGCAATATTTAATTCGAGTACATAATTAATGAATTGCAGATGGGAGGGTTGTAGTTGGAACGGATGCGTCTGGTAAAGGTTTTAATAGGCATCTCTGCTAAGTGTTGCATCGCATGAGAAATGAAGGAAATTGTACCGAGTACCCAATTGATAATTGATAAATGGGAAAAAAAACTTATAGTAAGCGTTGTCGATCACGTTATTCGTAAGTAACTTTACAAATGCGTGAAAATTTATATACTTTAGTCTTGTATGAACTCGTACAAATTTTATTCAATCTGAGAATTGCCCTAGTCAGACAATTCTGCAAAGTTCTTCTTTATACCTTTTTCTTCTTGATTAGGAGAAGAACAACTTCAACTACCTCTTTCTAAACTGAGATTTTTGGGAATCTTCCAGTAAGTGCGTTGGATCCATCATCCACATTCATCGTAGATTTTTTAGTGTACCGAAAATACGGCCAAGTACCAATTGTCCCCTTTTTAAAAAAAGAAATACGGCTTAATACTGTTGTATATTAAGTTTCATAGTACAATTAGTTAGAAATTTTAAAAACAAAATTCTACCAATTGTATTATGATGTTTAGTATACCGAACCGTGTTCTTGGCATCGAAAAATTTCTCCACATCCACATACTGTTCTGCCTTTGAGGGTTATATTTTTAGAAAATAAAATTAAAAACATAATCTTTATTGGTTTTGAGCAACTGGGCAAGGGATCAGATCCTCTCCTAAGCAAAGGGTGATGATCTTCCTGACCAATCCCATCGGGCCGTTGAAATTTTATCCAACGACTACAATTATTATAACTTTTAAAGGGGCTCCCTGTTTATAGCCGTTGGATAAAATTTCAACGGCCTGATGGGCTTGGTTAGGAGGATCCACACCCTTTGCTCAGGAGAGGATCCTGATCCCTGGGCAAGTACAGGCTGGGATAATGGGGCTATCTGGGCCCTACACGCATTGCCAATGTGCCATGCTCATCCCCACGTACGATGGTCAGAAAACCACTGCGTACAGTCCTGGGCCCCGGAAATCATGATATCTTTGATGAAAGATGCCCAAGACATTAATTTATCTTGCAGGGCCTTTTTTGTGATGGTTTTAAGCCCACCAACCATAACCTTTTTCGTGCCAATGAGATAATATAATATTGAGTTTTTTTAACATAACATTGTACAATTTACTCAGGACGCTAAAGACGTTGTATTTGTATCATATAAGTTGTTCTCCTATTCTTATGTAAATTTAGCATATATGCTTTTCGGGAAAGGTAATATGCCAAAGGTGCACTCTGGGCTGAATTAGTTGGGCCTCTCTTACTCGACGACTTTGGACCCCAAGAGAAGTAGAAAAGTCCAACAAGCTTCTTGTTTCAATGTACACACAAAATATGCGACATTGTCAAATTAAAGGCACATTTTTATTTTTTGAATTTTTTATAAACGCAATTGAAATAGTTAAATCTATTGAACTCTCTCTCCTCGTCAAGCAGGCCAAAGTAGACACAAGAATTTGTCTGAGCGATGAAATCCACCATTGGCTACCTCACCGTATACAAAAATAAAAAAACAAACAAAACAAACAAACTTTTTTACATATTTGTCTCTCACAAGTCAGAGCACAACTTTTAAATTTAAAAAAAATAATACTATTAAGCGCAACTAAGTTGGTTAGAGTAATATAAACTTTTCTGTACTTAAAAATGAAATTTTGTTTTCATAAAATTTACACTAGCAAACTCTACAAATACTATGCATGTGTTTAGGGCTTAGGAGGAAGGTATATTGCAATATATAAGGAAAAAAAATGTAAGGAGAGTAAGACCTAGTTTGGGAGTGAGGTGCTTAAAAAAAAAGCACCCATGAAAAAAAGCTGTGAGGGTTTTAGGTGTTTGGTAAACTGAAAAAAAAAGGGCTTATTTTGGAAGCTGCTGTGAGAATAAGCTGAAATCAAAGGAAAAAGCTGAAGCTGCTATTTGTAGCTTTAGAAAACTGGTTTTTTTCAAAGCACACGGAGCTACAGTGCTTCTTTAATGAAAAGACCCACTATTAGACTGCTTTTTTTTTTCCAAAAGCACTTTTACAAAAAAGTTTACCAAACACTCTGCTGATTTATTTCACAGCCGCTTATTCTCACAGCACAACCGCTTATTCTCACAGCAGTTTTTTTTCAAAGCACAGCAATACCAAACCAGCCCTAAGGAGAATCTAAAATGTGAATTGAATTAGTGCCCTTGGTTTTATATTAAATATTAAACCTATTTGACACCACTTTTGTTATACAACTTTTGATATATGGTTTTGTAGAGCTAATTTCATAATCTATTTTAACGATCTGAACTGTCTATTTTTATAACATTATTCATAGATTATTGTTCAAAAAAGTTAGACAAATTCAAAACCATTATGACTTTTATTTGTAGTGAAAAAAATGGATAAATATGGTTCTAATAGAACCCTAAACTCTTAACACAACAATCATATGGTTTCATATTTGAATGATTTACAATTGACGTGATCTTTAAAGAAAAATCTAAAAAATTAGCAGTTTGGATCGTTAGACTCCAAAAAAAACTTTTTCTTCATACAAATATTACCGAACTGTAGCGGTGACGGCCGGGTGGTCGTAAATGTATTAACACATTTTGAAGAGAAATGTTTATCACATTGATTAGCGATTAGGCAGAAATTGAGTTTAATTAACGTGGAAAGAAACCCACCTACACATTTTTGGGGAGAAATTTACTTGTAACAGAGAGAAAATAGCCGTTTTGGTAGTTTTCGAGTTTCCTTCCCTCGACGGATTCCGTTTCCGGGTCATTTCCCCTTTCCAAATTCCAAATCCGAAGCTGAGCTCTGCGTACCTGACACGTCCTTTTTCACCGCTTAAACCCCTTCAAACAAGTTCAGGCGACGACGACGACGACCTCGTGGGTCCAGAATACTGGCGCTCCACAGTCCTTCAAACTTCCGACCCCGAATCTCTCCCTCTCTATCAAATCAGTATATATACATATATGTATATGTATATATACACACACTGCGATTGGCCATGAAATTTACCTTTGATTTGAAGAACCAGCTCTAGAGATAGACTAGAGAGGATTCGACTACGATGGGTGTTGTGGCCGAACATTCCGATCGCCAAACTATCAGAGATGTCATCTGCCACGCCGGTGCTGGCGCCTCCGCTGGTCAGTGTCTTCCCCATTCCCATTCCTAGGGTTTCGTTCATCTGGGGACGCATTTGGAAATCTGATGAATTTATTGCAAATTGATTGAATTGTAAGCTTTGCAGGTGCTATTGCGGCTACGTTTGTATGCCCCTTGGATGTCATCAAGACTAGGCTGCAGGTCCATGGCATGCCTTCTGGGCAAAGAGGTATTCTTCAATTTACAGAGTCGAAGCTTTATATTCCTTTGAACAAATTATGTTTTGTTTATCAATACTTGGATGAAATTCTGTGTTTTTGTTATTTTTAAGGAACTTATCGAATGCAAGTATCGATTTTTGACGATCTTAGATTCATTGGGACTATGGGAGCACATGTTTAGGTGGAAATGGAATCGTAGTCTGGTTAAAGTTTCGGTTTTGTGAACTCTCTGTATTTGTATAAACGAGAAAATATGCATTGACCAAATGTATGCCACATTTCTTGTTAATTGGTGAACCGGCTTCAGGGGGCTTTGTGTTTGTTCTATAAATTTTTTTATTTGGCTCATGGCCATTTCGAGGACAAATTTGAGTCGATCTATTAATTTGTAGTATATATGGTTCGCACTGCATACTGCATGCATATCAGTATGACTGTTCTTCTTTGTTTTCCTTTTGGCCTATGATCAGGTAGTATCATTGTCACAAGCCTACAAAAAATATTAAAGACTGAAGGTGTGAAGGGGATGTACCGGGGCCTTTCACCTACAATTCTAGCGCTACTTCCAAACTGGGCAGTGAGTATTACTTTTGTTGCCTTATATTGTGAAATAAATCTTTGGGAGCCTTTATCTTGTGGAAACTTGATTTCACAAGGATTTGAGGCCCTCGGTCAGATCACATGCAACTTTTTTACCTATATACTTTTTGTAATTCTCCTGGTGCCATATGCACTCTGTTTGTACGCAGGTGTACTTCACAGTTTATGAGCAACTCAAAGGCCTACTCCACACTCATGGTTGGTTTTTCCAAATGTGGCTTAAAAGTCTGTGTTTGTCTCTAATTATTTCTTATGAAACGCCTGGTATTCCTATATTCTTGATTTAGTTTAGAGGTTTAAGGACTATTTAATAGCATTCAGCTAGTTACTTTTAAACATTCACTATGGTCATACTGTAGTTCATGGCATCGGAGAACTCACAATTGGTGAAAATATGATTGCTGCTGCTGGTGCCGGGGCTGCCACAGCCATTTCAACAAATCCATTGTGGGTTGTTAAGACCAGACTTCAAGTAAGTTTACTGTTTTTGTGTTTGTAATTCATTTAAAATGTAGTAATACATATATTCTCATGTAAAGGGAATCTGTGATTCCATCTCATTTTCTGCTAGCCCACATGCTTATTTCATGTTAAAAAAATTCATAATTTTATTGGAGTGGTCAGTATTCACTACTCACACATACATATGCCCTTTAAAGCATGCAGCTGTCGTAATTCAGGGTTGTGTAGCTCTAAGTTAATTTCAGTTCCGGGATTTTGTATTTGTTTTGCAATAGCAAATGCTTCTTTGTGTTGCACAAGGTTCTAAAAAGTGCTAGAAGCTAGTCGGTCGGCGGGCAGGGGCCTAGCGCCTAGGCGTCTAGGCGGGGGCCTAGTTTTTTTTAATTTTAATTAAATTTATTATATAATATATAAATATATGTCTACTTATACTTAAAACACAAACATAATTGTATTGGTATATTTAAATTGCAAAATAGAATGGCATATCAATTATAAAGTACTAGAAGATATTGAAACATGGGGAACAATGACCTGTTATTTTTATGGCATTCTGTTGGATTGGGACTGAGAACATTGTTTTTTTTCCTGGATGCGACACAAACTCTCCGTAATTATCATGTCCTTGACTTGAGATGTGGGGAGAAAGTAAACTGTGCATCGAATGAAAATAAAAGAAAGTATTAGTTCAACTATGCAAACACATATTTGCTAGAGATGGTCCTTTAGAGCTTACGGGTTTCTAAGAAATGTCTGGGCATGTTTTATTCTTGGGGTTGATGCTTAACCAATGTCTAACCAGGCTAATGAATCTCTTCCACATAATTACATGTTAGTTTCTGACTTAAAGTCAACATTCATGGATTTAGAAAATTCAAGGACTTCACACTAATTAATTTTCCTCGTTTGAACTTTTTGTCATTTTTGTACATTGATATATTCTTCTTGATCAACTTCATTTAGACACAAGGAATGAGGCCTGGTGTGATTCCTTACAAAAGCATGAGATCTGCTTTCTCAAGGATTGCAACTGAGGAAGGCTTGCGAGGTTTATATAGGTCATTTTTCTTCCGAGTTACATCATATGACACTAAACTGTGAATTTCATATTTGCTTAAATCGATTTTTTTTTTCATTCGGTGAAAGGAGTCTGTTCAATTGATATTTAATCTATCCGCGTCGTTTCCCTTAATGATATGTTTTTGTTTGCATGTGTGGTTTCAAACAGTGGGATCTTGCCTTCGTTGGCTGGCATAAGTCATGTTGCAATTCAATTTCCTGCTTATGAAAAGATAAAGTCTTTCATGGCAAAAAGGGGTAAACGTTATATTTTTACTTCTTTGATGAACTGTTTTACTTGAAAATTCAGCGTTTTCTAATTAATTAATTAGATCTGACCCCGTAAATATAATTTTCAGATAATACAACTGTTGATAAGTTACACCCTAGTAGAGTTGCCTTTGCTTCATCAGTATCAAAAGTAATCGCTTCTGTAATAACATACCCTCACGAGGTATGTTCAGCTGGACTTCTCAGTAAACGGATTGGGGCTTGGATGACTGCTTATAACTTAAGAGTCGTGTCTCTCTATCTTTCTCATATTTTATTTTATTGTCTTGACTGAATTAATTATCTCTAGGTTGTGCGCTCGAGGCTGCAAGAGCAAGGGCAGGCGAGACATATTGAACCCCAGTACGCAGGAGTTATTGACTGTATGAAGAAGGTGTTCCAAAAGGAAGGCCTTCGTGGATTCTATAATGGTTGTGCTACTAATCTACTAAGAACCACTCCTTCTGCCGTTATTACATTTACCAGCTACGAGATGATAGATAGGTTCTTGCGGAGGGTTGTACTTACAGAAAACGAGCACTCAGGTGGCCACCCTAAGTCTGATGGCCACGCCGAACCTCAGAAGGGAAATGGAGGCACCGAGAGAGAGGGGAATGACTCTGCATTGCGGCAAGCACAAGCCCAAACAAATCAGAGGACTCCACTTCCTCTTGGAAACAAAGACCCGCTAACGGCAAGACATTGAAGGAATCCACCCTTTTTTTGAATTTACCATTTGACTGTAAGAAATTTTTCCATTTGAAAGGGAAAAAAGTTAGTTCCCTTATTGTAACCTTTCTTTCTTCGTTCAAAATGTACGTCATGAAATTAGGTCTCGAGTAGTTTGTTTTGAGCTCTTTGATGCAAAAAGTATAGATCCGAAATGATGTTGGATTTGAATCGGGTTGTAATAAGATAAGAATTTGCAAAAGTTGTGCTTTTATTTCCAACAGAGGAAGCTTGAGGTTTGGTGGTGTAATAAAGCACGCCTTATTCTTTGTCCTTTTTAGTCCCAAAGGGAAGAATTGTTGCTTTAGCATGTGTGGTGTTAACTGTTCTCCCAACAGTCATGGTCCTGGGCCTTAGCCACTTTAACTTTAGAAAGGAACCTCAAAAGAATGGTAATGGTTCTACCTCTGTTTCTTCCGAAATAAGGGAAGGATCGTCTTCCGTGGATCCCTCTGTTTCTTCGGAAGCTGTTTCTATTCAAAGTAGGATTTTTCTTTGATTCTCGAAACCAACCGGCTCTGACTTGATGCATTCCCTCTGTTTAATATTGGAAGAGGTTCCAAGTTTCTCACGAGTTCAAATGCACTATGTAAGTCATGAAACCATAACGTCGAATGTTTGATAAACGCTTTTAACTACAAATTCAATGCCGGTAACTACAAATTATACAATGCAATACGAAATCGATTTGTATTAGTATATTTGGACCAAGATCGTGAGAGACGATTGATGACATAACGTACAACAAAGAACTTCTAATAATATTTTCCAAATATTAGTTTACGAAAACAAAAGTACTTAGAGTTAACGGAAGACTTGATCGCAAATCATTCTAAGATTTATACCGCGCAAATCATTCTAAGATTTATACCGCCAATGCCACTTACTGGACTAAAGCTTTGTTGTTGTAATTTACTCGGGAATAGTGACGAGCACAGGGCGCCAAGCCCTTCTCATTAACGACTTGTAACGGAAACCGGTCCAGGCCGGCCTAGGCGAGCCCGGTCCAAATCCACCAATTTCTTTACCCACCGCCCCCAAACTACCGAACTCTGCTCGCTTATCTCTCTCACTCTCCGCCTTCCTCCCGTCGTTCAACTCAAATGGCGGCGACGACACAAACAAGTCCTTCAAACTGTTCCTCTGAACCGGAAGCTCTTCCGGTAGTGGCATCGGAACCGGCGGGTCACGGCGGCGACTGCTGCTCCGGGTCAGGAGCATGAGCAAAGTGGGTTTGCGGCGGGGGAGCTGGATCAAGGGGCTCGACCGCGGGCTTCGCGTCGGGCTCTGGGCCACGCCGCACTGCGTGGCGAGGAGCTTGAATTTCTGTAAAGTCCCCATCTTTTGGATTTGAGGCCTGTTGCTGCTGCTAACTCCCATTCCTCTCTCTATATATACATGTGAATTGTTGGGGGTGAATATTTGAATTTAAAATGGTGAATGATTGCAGGGGAGAAACTGAGACACGATTGATTGCTTGTGAAATAGAGAAAAGGATATGTTGGGAGGTGGATGCATCTTTTTTATACACACACTTATAAATTAGACCAAATAGTGACTGGGTTTTTTTTCTTCTCGTTTTTCACTAATTCAAAGAGAGGAGAGAGAGGGGAGAGAGGGGAGAGAGGGGGTGAGAGAGGAGAGAGAAGAGAGAGAGTGGGTGCATTTTCCAAGTGAAATTCCAAAAATCTGAAAATCTATATAGGGTTCTGAAAAAGAGACAACACCTCATTCTTTGACTGAAGAAGATTGAAAGGTCAGTTTCAACCAATAATAGGATAAATTTTTTTAGTCTGCACGAGCCCGCATATTAAGTGTCAATATATAAGTGGTTGATAAATTTCTTTTAAACTTTAAACATTAATAGGAGAAATTGTAACATTTGGTATAGTGGCTCATGTTTTCTACAAAAAAATTCATCCATTAATAAGAGATTTCGTAAAGATTAATTGATAATAGGGTAATGTTAGGAAGATTAAATTTGTAAACTAAATGATATGGAAGTTGATAATGAGGTTATAACTTAAATGTTGATATGCACATTCTTATTGATGACAAATCTCTTAATTTGTAAATTTTGTCTACAATCTAATCTTTCTAACAGTACCCTTGATAATAACACTAGCGATATTCCATGTGAACAAATTTCATCGTGTAAAAAAGTTAAAATAAATAGCCTCCAAATTAGGTGGCCTAGATTTCAAACTCCATTTTCCACGTTGTTAGCCTGCACCCAAGGTTCTTGAACAAGTACAACAACGTTGTCATTACCTAACCCTCACCACCACAATGTGATTTTATTTTTTATTTTATTTTTTTGGTAACCAAACAAACATATGAAAAATTCAAATTTAGAAGTATTAAATAAATGATTGATGAAATAGTAGTTCTAATATTTTAACATAATCAGACATGGATTACGCCAGAGTACTCAAGTTTGAACTCTTTTCGTATAAATTAGAATGATATAAAACTGTATAAATCTAAAACTTTTGTCATTTATGTCCGTTTTACTTTCCGGTGAAGAAGGTGTTTGATCATGTCATATAATTCAAATTGGTTGATAAACGATATCACAAGAAGCAGAAAAAAGAGAAGGAAAAAGATATAGACATCAAACAAGTAGGAAGCGCCAAAACGCTAGAAGATCAAAACTATATGTATAAAATATGAACCCAAGAAGTTGATCTACCAACTCTTTGAACAAACCTTTTTGAAATTTGCTTATGGCCGGGGTAGAATAACTTCGTGCCTATGCCTCATTATATCAACTGCCGGAAGAGATGATATGAGCTCCATGAGAACAACTCCGAAACTATAAACATCACTCTTGCTAGTTAGCTGGTAACACTGGTGATGCTCTGGATCAACGCATCCTGGTGTCCCTTGTGGAGCGATTGAGACATGCGTGACATCAATGGGGAAGAGACCGGAGAGCCCATAATCTGCAACATTAACGCAGAAGTTGCCGTCGAGCGGAATGTTGGTAGTCTTCACATCACGATGTACAATTTCAGAAGCATGGAGGTAGGACAATGTGTTGGCGGTTTCTATGGCAATGTTCATATGAATAGGCCAAGTGAGTGAGCCAGGGTCTGCTCTGTCTTCGTGGAGATGATCAGCAACGGCTCCATTGGAAATGTATTCGTAGACAAGGAGGAGTTCGCGGCTGCGGCGTGAGGTGCAGCCATAAAGGGAGACTAAGATTTTGTGGCAAAGACCGGTAAGGGATTTCAATTTCATTCATGAAGTGTTCACTGCGTTTGTAATTGTGTTTGTATAAGAACTTGACTGCAACTTCCCGGCCATCTTTGAGTTTTCCCAAATTGGATTGATTAAAGCGTTTGTAACTGTGTTGAACATATAATGATTGCAGGAGTGGTAGTAAGAGGGTCACTCCTACTGTGTTGATTCATTGATTCATGTACAGAAATAAACAAAACAAAAATGAAATACATACTTCATTATTTAGATTGCCTCAGAAAAACATATATTTGTTCAAGTAAAATACAGGGTTTCTACTGTATTGATATCAATGTAGTAGAAGAATCTAACGGGGATTTTGGAGGAGAAGACAAGTAAGGCTTGGGTGGTATCTGCAACGAGTCAACACTCCCTTCCAACATATCTATCACTTCCCTCATCGCTGGCCGGTTTGAAGGATCAGTTTGGATGCACCACAAGCTCACTATGATCATCTTCCTTGCTCTTACTTTGTCTTCCTCGTTCATAACATTCTGCACACCAAGCTCTTCATCCAATTCAAGGCGCTTGTAAATCCAATGCGGAAAATATATTTCACTTGTATTTTCAGCTTCAACGTCGATGTTCCTTCTTCCACCAACGATTTCCGAAAGCATCATTCCGTAGCTGTACACATCAGACTTGTGTGAGACCCCTCCAAAGTTTCTACAAAATACTTCTGGAGCAATGTAACCTGCTGTACCTCTAGCTCCCAACATCGACACAATACTCTCTTTCCTGTTGCATATTTTGGCAAGGCCAAAATCTGAGATTTTTGGGCTGAAGTTTTCGTCAAGAAGAATGTTATGAGGCTTGATGTCGAAATGCAAAATTCGTGTGTTGCAACCACGATGTAAGTACTCCAATCCTTGAGCAATACCGAGTGAAATTTGATATAGAGGTTCCCATCCCAAGTGATGATGATCATTCTTGGGAGTACTTGCATTAAATATGAACTTCTCGAGCGATCCATTAGGCATGAATTCATAGATCAGAGCCCTCTTAGAATGCTCAAAACAGTAGCCCAACAAGGAGACGATGTTGACATGGGAAGTTCGACTAATGGCTGCCACTTCATTCATAAATTCTTCTCCATCTCCTTTAAGTTTGGTCAAGACCTTCACTGCTACAAGACGGCCGTCCTTTAACTTTCCTTTATAAACAGCACCATAGCCTCCTTGTCCTAATTTTTCTTTGAAGGAGTTGGTCATTTTCTTGACCTCCGAATAGCTATGCCTTTGAACTTGAAGCGGCCCATAGCTCCTTAGAAAGGCCTCAACAATTTGATGTTTTTGGATACGCTTCTTCCAAAAGAAACAGCAGACAACAACTAGAACGACGATAACAGAAGCTGCACCAACTGTTAAAGGCGAGTTAAATTTGATTGAAGGTTTGTTATGCAGAGCAATCAATGGACCTTGCCAACGTGTTTAAATGCTTGCTCATTCCGTGATTCTTAGAAAATTAATCCAGAGGGATTGGGGAATGATTGATTTCCGTCCTTTGGTTCTAGCACTTGTCCTAGATGAGTATGCATACCAATTAGATATTTAAATGTAGAGATATCAATCTTACCTAGTCCTAGCTTCAATTTCAAACTGCTTATCTCCTGCAACATAAATTGCAAAGAAAACTGCTGTTAGCTAAATCACAGAAGATGAAAGTGGCATAAATAATGTTACCATTCAAAACAAAGGAGGCTAATGCATACATAACAATCATTTAATACTTGTGTGTTTCAATAAACTGTTTGCTGTTTCTCAGAGTTATATCCTTTGAAGAAAGGAATCGGATTATCGCACGTCAGAGAAAGAAAGAAAGAAAGGTCATGTAAATGTATATACCCTTGGCGCATTTAAATTTTCCCTCGAGAACCAGGCATTCACCTTTGCTTTCAATGCATTGAAAACATTCTTGTGCTGACACCTGGAGATAAAACTCAGCTGTCAATGAAGAGGACATGGTCGGTTGAGACGGACGCATGGGGACCTGAATGGTTTGACACCTTGGTGGCAGAGGGTTAGGTAAATTACCGTTAGATGAATTGATATAATAAGTATGGTTAGCATTTCCGCAGCCATAAATAAGTTGTGGATAAGAATTTTTGTCTAAGGTGGTGTTGCATTTGAAAAGGGTAAGATTGGGTGTGGATAATGATACTTCAGGGATTGGAGAAGCCCTGGGAAGACTCAAGTCGTCGAAAAGTCCGTCGTTGCAGCGATCCTTTTCTAAGCGGTCGGCAAGGTCTCTATCTTCGATCCAAATCGAAGTTGATAATAAAGAGCCTCCAAATTCATGCCAGTATCCTCCCTCTTCCAATTGGATTTTTGGCCGATCGGGTTCTGAACAATCAACTGTGAACAATCCGCATTCAGGAGGATATCCCATGCTTTTGAAGGGGAAGCTGATGTTGCCTGCTGAGCTGCAGAACTGGACTGGACAATGTATGGCTTCAGCAGAGTGCAGAACCACAAGGTGAGCAAGAATGGCGAGAATAAACAAAGCCACCGGAGCCATCCGAAAATTCCGAGCTGATCAACAAGAAGAAAGCGCCGCAAAGGAAGAACAATAAGAAAATCTACTCCTCCTCTTCAGAACAAGTGTTGAATTGTTTAGAGGTTCAGAATTCTTTGTTTGCAATGTATTAGCACCCCTGTTGACTTGGAATTTGGGAGACTGGAAGACTTGTGGGAACTAACCATGTAAATGTTGCTCGACTTAAAAGACTTGCATGGCCTATTAGGGGAGTTTCCTTCTCAACTTCCCCACTGACAAGCATCAGAAAGACTTTGACCCCTTGACTCTTCAAAGATAACATTAAAAAATCCTTGCAACTCCTCTGAACCACACAGATTACGGAAACGATTGAGTGTTCAGTGTTCTCTCGTCGCGCAGTGAAACATGTTCCGTTCCGTCTTGCTTGCGAGTCTAATTTGTCTGAGCACTGAACAGCTTCATAGCTGAAAAGCATCTCCTAGTAACAGTACTAACGTTAGAATTTAATTTAGTAAAACGTCATGACGAATTTGGTCGTTTGTGACTGCCATTTTCTCTACCGGTTTTGATGGTTAAGTAGTAAACATGATCGTGTGAGAAGTAAAAATAAGTATGTAGAGGGCACGGCTCCATTTAAATTTCTTCCTAAAATCTTTTTCTATTTTACTTTAAATAAATAGTACATTGGGTTTTTTTGTTATTTAGAAAGTAAGCTGGGCTACTCATCCCAAACAAAAAATTGAAAAAGTAAACCGGCTAAACTGGACCGCTACATGACCCGTTTTAGAGGCCCATATTGAGCCTACCCAACCCAGACAATACTAGAAACTTGTGCCCGCACGTTATTGCGGGATTGAAAACTGAATAAAAGATTATGCAACTTCATTATCTTCATGATCTAAGTTTGAGTCAAGTATTGAGGATTACAAATGCCAATGCAAGCACAGTTGAAGCACGTTGTTGACCCTAGTTTTTTTTCCGATTGTACATTTACAGTGCCAAACAACAAACTGGTAGCTGGAGGGGGAAAAAATAATAAAAATCAGTACTATTTAAATTCATCCTATACCCCAATCAAGCCAAACCAAATGCATACTAACAATATCTATAACTATAGAAATAAAAAACCAAACAAATATAACAAACGTAGAGAGACCTTAATGATCTGACTCAATTCATCGTTGAAGACTTGGTCGAACCGTGATTTGCTCACTCCATACCTAAATTAAAGAAAAGCAAACCAAGTTCAGCAAGAATTATGCACAAACTTTGTGAAATTATATAATGATACAACATTGTTAAGCAAACATGGACTAGAGCTGATTTTAAAAGTTATTTAAAAGGAAATGGTAAATCTTATGCATGCTAAAGAAGATTCAGAGGAAAATATTACGAAACATTTCCAACTCGTTTACTTTTGGAGTGCATATGTGTGTGTGTGTGTGTGTGGGCTTGTATGTTTATTGTTCTTAAACTAATATATTATACAAAATTGGGTCAATTTTCAGATTTTCACCAACCTAGCAACCTTTAGTTCTTTGACAATCAACATTCACATATCAAAAGAAGAAAAAATTAAAAACAGAACTTGATTACACATGAATGAAATCACCTTAAATTGCATATGAATCTCATTCTTTACTAATCTTTCTAACCTTTCTCTGGATATATGACCCAGTCATTTATGCCACAAGAATGAAGAATTTTCATTATTTAGGCAACGCTTAGTTCCAACATTATGATGCAAGATCAAAAGTGTTTTAGCAAAACGATTATTGAGCTTTAAATTATACAGCTCACCTATTAGAATACCAGAACCAACAAAAGAGGTATTCTTATATAAACTGAAACATTCATTACCAAACTTTATAAAAATAAAAAAAAACCATTATGGTCAAGCTTCAAAACTGAAACCAAATTTCTGGAACAACTAGGAACATAAAGTGTCTGAAATAAATCCAAACAATATCTAGTATCCAAAATTAAACGAAAGGTTCCAATAGCTTCAACTAGAGCTTTGACTCGATTCCCCATGAAAATGAAATTTTATGGATTTAAAGTTTGGGTCGTAAGGAATCCCTTCATCGAATTTGAAATAGGAGTCGTAGCACCAGAGTCAACCCACCAAGTATTATAAGGAACTTTCAGTTAAATATGGTTCGAAACTTACATAAGCCAAAGGCTCACCTTTCTTTTCGAACCATTCTTTGAATTTTTGACAATTCCTTTGATAATGCCCAGGCTTCCTACAGAAGTGACATAAATCACTTTTCTGTTCCTTATCATGAGCCTGAGTAGCATAGCAAGTCCATTCACCTTGGGTGGTCCTATTTTCTTTCCCTTTCTAGGCTTTCTTCCAAATTTTCTTTCAGCTCCTTGCCTTACTAAATGAACAGAATGCTCTCCTTGCTGCTTAAGCTTTCCCTCCTCTTGAACAAGTTTAGCGGCCAATTCATCAACATTCCATTTGTCCTTAATAGCACCATAGTTGATTTGAAATGGCCCATGCTGAGGAGGCAAGGGGTTCAAAATAAATTGAACAAGAAAATAGTCATCCACATTCATTCCAAGAGTCTTTAGCTTTGCTGCTATATTAGTCATTTCAAGGACATGCTCATGCATACTTCGCATACCATCAAATTTCTTGGTGGTAAGCTCAGCCATTAATGTCCCAGCAAGAGACTTGTCAGCAGTCTTGAAACGAGTCTCAATATTTTTCAAGTATTCCTTAGCAGTTTCAGCTTGAGGAAGGCCAGTCTTTATGTTGCTCACTACAGTCATTCGCATAAACATTATGCTCAATCTATTCGATCTCTCCCAGGCATTATAGAGAGATTTTTCCTCAATGCTGCTTGTATTCGTAAGAGCAACAGGTTTATTAGTTCGGAGTGCTAAATCAAGATTTAGGACACCAAGGTGAAACTGAACTTGCTCACTCCAATCTGAGAAATTTGTTCCATTAAGTGAGAGAATAGATGAAGCAAGTGAATGAAGAGAAATAGGCACTGACACTTCAATTCAAAAGTGCTCACAACATTAATGCTTTGAGTAATATAAAAACACGTGTAATAACAATAAGTGTATTATCATATTCTCCTTTGGGTAGATACTACAACAATACAAACAATCATCCATGCATAATACCTTATTGATAATTGTACATCTCTAACAAGACAGGTTTCGTTATCTTTGGATATCCGAAACCAATAAAATGAAATGTACAATTCTCACCACATTCATATTATCAATCATATGAGCAATTAGTCAACCTTTTGGTGACCCTTAAGAACTTATGACAAATGAAAATCATATTACTCATGTACAAACCTTTAGGGGGCGTTTGTTTGCCCTCACTAAGTGGGACTGGACTGGACTGGACTGGACTAGCTGTTAGTCTAATACTGCGTTTGTTCCATACTGGGACTAACATTAATGAGACTAAAGGGGACTAGCATGGACAAATGAGACTAAAGGGGACTAGCATGGACAAAACCCTTCTCTAAGAGGTCTTAGCAAGACCCCCCAATAACCATGGGACTAGCTAAGACTATCATCTCTCGTCCTCGTCATGCTCAACAACCACTCCCGATAAACTTCTCGTCATCTCCGGTCACCTAGATCATAATAAAATATTGTCATTATCCAACTTCTTAGTCCAAAACTGCACCAAACGCTTTACTATATTAGTCCAGCTTTGTCTAGTCTAAGCCAGTCCGGCTTAGTCATTGAAGCTAGTCTAGTCCGAGATAGTTCGGCGCAACAAACGCCCCCTTAAAACATAATAAGATTTTGTTCGTTCATATGCATCATCCTTCCATGAGTAATTGATTAATCATCATTTAATTTGAATCCATGTGATCTTTCTAGTTTGGCCACTTTGGTGACTAACAAACAATTTCGTAAGACGAATTACAAATTAAATGAATGACGTTTATAATCGTAATGATCAAATATCACAATTGATAATAAGCAACAGCACCATAAGGAAAATATTATTTCTGAGTGCAATTACAATATATAAAGAACATTCACAATTCAAAACAGCGATTAGGTTATTTCAAAATAGCACATCGGATCATAATTTATTTCGAAGCAAAACCTTGATCAAGTCGATTCAATTAAAGTTCATAATCGTAAATGGAAAATCATGAGAGCTCTCAACTAGGCTCTGATACCACATGTAAATTATAAATCAATTAAGCTAAGATCATCGAACTTCATGATTTTCACATGCAAATAAAATGCGGAAAAATACATTAATCAACCAAGCGTACCTTGATCCATGACAACGAACGCTATGAGATCCCCAATCAGATTCTATTCTGTCAGCGGCGGAGGAAATAGGTGCTCTCTCTTGCCTCTATTTGCACGTAAAAACCTTAATCGTGTTTTTCGACTATCAAATGCATATTAGATGGGTTTATGCAATATATATAAGTGAGGCAGAGAGAGAGAGGACCCGTTTCCATTCAAAGTACATAATCAATTACCATCCATCACAAAAATTCAATAGGAAACATTTCTCATAATTTGACCAGTGGGATTATTATCATATACGTGTCATGTGGACCATTTTAGAATATTAAATAGGGAACTTTAACGAAAAACACTTGCTACTGTTCACTTTAACGAAAACCACATTTTTACACTAAAAAGTCAATCATAGTACTATTCACTTTACCCTTTATTTTGTCCTTATCATTAAAACTCAAAGTTTTCAAGCTCTTTTCATTAGTTTTCCTTATTAAATATCATATACATGTCATGCGGAATACTTAAGAATATTACAATATTCTTACATTGAATCCTACATATCATATGCATGCATGTCATTAAAATATTCTTACATGTTTCACACATTTTGTGTTGAATATATATATGATTGCCGGAGCGGTAGTAGGAGTGACACTCCTACTGTGTTGATTCATTCATATACAGAAAAAAACAAAAAAAACAAAAATGAAATGCATACTTCATTATTTAGATTGCCTCAGAAAGCACATATTCGTTCAAGTAAAATACAGGGTTTCTATTGTATTGATACCAATGTAGTAGAAGAATCTGCCTGGGATTTTGGAGGAGAAGACAAGTAAGGCTTGGGTGGTATCTGCAACGAATCAACACTCCCTTCCAACATATCTATCACTTCCTTCATCGCTGGCCGGTTTGAAGGATCAGTTTGTATGCACCACAAGCTCACTATGATCATCTTCCTCGCTCTTACTTTGTCTTCCTCGTTCGTAACACTCCGTAGACCAAGCTCTGCGTTCCGTTCAAGACGTTGGTAAATCCAATGCGGAAAATATATTTCACTTGTATTTTCAACTTCAGTGTCGATGTTCCTTCTTCCTCCAACCATTTCTGAAAGCATCATTCCGTAGCTGTACACATCAGACTTGTGTGAAACCTTTCCAAAGTTTCTAGAAAATACTTCAGGAGCAATGTAACCTGCTGTACCTCTAGCTCCCAACATCGACACAATGCTCTCGTTCTTGTTGCATATTTTGGCAAGGCCAAAATCTGAGATTTTTGGGGTGAACTTTTCACTGAGAAGAATGTTGTGAGGCTTGATGTCAAAATGCAAAATTCGTGTGTTGCAACCACGATGTAAGTACTCCAATCCTCGAGCAATACCAAGTGAAATTTGATCCAGAGTTTCCCATCCCAAGTGATGATGATCATTCTTGGGAGTACTTGCATCAAATATGAACTTCTCGAGCGATCCATTAGGCATGAATTCATAGATCAGAGCCCCCTTCGAATGTTCAAAACAGTAGCCCAACAAGGAGACGATGTTGACATGGGAAGTTCGACTAATGGCTGCCACTTCATTCATAAATTCTTCTCCGTCTCCTTTAAGTTTGGTCAAGACCTTCACTGCTACAAGACGGCCGTCCTTTAACTTTCCTTTGTAAACAGCACCATAGCCTCCTTGTCCTAACTTTTCTTTGAAGGAGTTGGTCATTTTCTTGACCTCCGAATAGCTATGCCTTTGAGCTTGAAGCTGCCCATAGCTCCTTAGAAAGGCCTCAACAATTTGATGTTTTGGATTCACCCTTTCCAAAAGAAACAGCAGACAACTAGGACGACGGTAACATAAACCTGAGCGTTTTTGTTTGCAAAGCAAGAGAAGAAATATGCATATTGCAAGAAGTGTAGAAAACCCAAGGCCAATTCCTAAAGAATACAATTAGAGAGACGGTTACAATGCAGTTTATACCGCTGTTGCTTCAAGGAGAGTTAAATTTGATCAAAGGTATGTTATGCAGAGCAATCAATGGACTTTGCCAACGTGTTTAAACGCTTGCTTCCGTGATTATAAGAAAATTAATCCAGAGGGATTGGGGAATGATTGATTTCCGTCCTTTGGTTCTAGCACTTGTCCTAGATGAGTATGCATATCAATTAGATATTTAAATGTAGAGATATCAATCTTACCTAGTCCTAGCTTCAATTTCAACTGCGTATCTCCGGCAATATGAACTGCAAAGAAAACGGTTGTTAGCTAAATCACACAAGATGGAAGTGGCATAAATAATGTTACCCAACAAAAAAAGAGAGGATAATGCATACATGACAATCATTTAATACTTGGGCATTTCGATAAACTGTTTCCTGTTTCTAAGAGTTATATCCTTTGAAGAAAGGAATTGGATTCTCGCACGTCAGAGAATGAAAAAAAGGTCATGTAAATGTATATACCTTTTTCTGGCGGTGCATTTATATTTTCCATATTCAACCAGGCATTCACCTTTTCTTTCACGACATTGATAACATTTTCGTGCTTCCACTTCGAGGGAAAACTCAGCAGTCAATGAAGACAACGTGATGGGTTGAGGCGGAGACGGAAGTATGGGGACCTGAATGGTTGCACACCCTGGCGGCGGGGAGCTAGGCAAACTACTGTAAGATGAAGCCACATAATAAGTATGGGAAGCATCTCTGCAGGCATCGTTAAGTTGTGGAAAAGAATTTTTGTCTAAGGTGGTGCTGCATTTGAAAAGGGTCAGTGTGTGTGTGAATAATGATACTTCAGGGATTGGAGAAGCCCTGGGAAGACTCAAGTCGTCCAAAACTCCGTCATTGCAGTGATTTTTTTCTAAGTGGTCGGCAAGGTCTTTGTCGTTGATAAAAAACGTAGTTGATAAAGGGCCTTGGAATTCATACCAGTATCCTCCCTCTTTCAATTGGATCGTTGTCCGAGTGGGTACTGAACAATCGACTGTGAACAATCCACATTCAGGAGGATCTTCCCGCCTTTTGAAGGGGAAGCTGATGTTGCCTGCTGAGCTACTGCAGAAGTGGACTGGACAAAGTTTGGCGGGTTCCTCTGCTGAATATTCAGCAGAGTGCAGAACCACAAGGTGAGCAAGAATGGCGAGAATAAACAAAGCCACCGGAGCCATCCGAAAATTCCGAGCTGATCAACAAGAAGAAAGCGCCGCAAAGGAAGAACAATAAGAAAATCTACTCTTCCTCTTCAGACCAAAGAGTGTTGAATTGTTAAAAAAGCCGGACTTTTTCTCTCCGTAAGTGAGAGCCTTTCTCTCCGTGAGTGAGAGTTCTTCTTCCCCCCTTTGTGTGAGGGTTTCCAGATCCTGTTTTCCATTTAGCCGCCGGCCTTAGCTATGGCTAGGGTCGGTGGCAGTCTTTTCTTTCTGTGTTTTGCTGTTCTCTCCCTTACCTCCTGCTCCTGTTCTGGCCCAGTTCTCCTTTCCCTCTGTTTGTTCTTTCCACCCCACATGCTGTCGATCCTATTAGCCGATGTCCTAATAATCACTCTTTCCTTCTCCATCCTTTTTCAATTCGTTTTGTTCCTTCTAATTTGGTTCCATCTTTCATCAATACCTTACCTTAGCCGATTCGCCATCACTTTCAACCGCAATCTGTTGCGGTATATCGAGAAGGTGTGTAGAGCTCCGGTGTTCCCACCGGCTCGGGTGTTCGCACCACCTCCTTCTGCCTTTGTTGGCAGTGTCGCAAGTGGAGATCCCACTAGCTTCCTTCGTTGTTGTTTCTACTTGGTGGCTGCAATCGGAGAGGTCTTCTTTGATGGATGATGGCATCTTCCTTACTTCAACCTCTGAGGCGTCGGTTGGTCGAATCTATGGCATTCGTTGGGTTTCATGGAACATGATGATCGAGAGGTGCTGCGGCGGCGGGAGTTGCAGTAGACTAGGGTTTTCTATTTCTTTTAGTCTGTTTATGTTTTTGGGCCTAATCTCTTGGTTAGGCTCAGACCGCTTTGTCCGGAAGGCCCACCTTTTTGTTGTATATTTCGTTTGGGGCCTTGGCTGTGTAAGTTCTGGTTTGTAACTTCGGTTTTTTGTCGGCAATAAACTATGCCTTTCACTCAAAAAAAAAAAAAAGAGTGTTGAATCGTTTAGAGGTTCGGAATTCATTGTTTGCAATATAGTAACACCCCTGTTGACTTGGAATTTGGGAGACTGGAAGACTAGTGGGAACTATCCATGTAATTGTTGCTCGACTTAAAAGACTTCCATGGCCTATTAGGGGAGTTTCCTTCTCAACTTCCCCACTGACAAGCACCACAAAGACTTATTTGTGTGGGACTTGGATTCTCTGCCCTCCCATTTCGGTGCCCTCCCCGTGCCATTCTGTTTTGTGTGGTCACGGTTAAGCCACTTAATATTTTATATTATTTTTTTATAAAAATAATAAAACAAAAAAAAATATTAATATAAAATGTTGACGTGGCTTAACCGTGACCACAAAAACAGGAGGGCACGAAGAGGGTACCAAAATTAGAGGGCAGACAATCCAAGTCCATTTGTGTGAGCACTGAACAGCTTCATAGCTGAAAAGCATCTCTTGGTAGTAGTACTAACGTTGGAATTTAATTTAGTAAAACGTCATGACGTCATGTCGAATTTGATCCTTTGTGACTGTCATAAAAGTGAAGGAGACTTAGACTCTAAGATTGTGTTATCCAGTGGCAAAGCCAGGATTTACAGAGGGGAGAGACGAAATTCAAAAGAGTGCAAGGTTCAATCGAAGCAGTTGCTTTTACATTGGAGAGTATAAAATTTTGAGTCAATATTCATAGCAGAAAATAATCTCTCAACCAAAGCAGTTGTAAGCAATAATATCAAAGTCAATGTAAGAAGCTTAAATTGGTCAGGATTAGATCCTAAAAAATGTTAGGCGCTAATCAAACAACGAACTGGAGTGCCTAAGCGAGATCTAGGCAGGATGCTAGATAGATTTAAATTATCGTAAAATAAGCATTAAACAATATTTATATTGTTTTTAAAAAATAATACAATATTTATAAATAATGTGATAATTTAAGATAAATATAATGAATGTCTTAAACGAGAAAATAAAAAATTAATACAAGAATTTAAAAATAAAATAAAATAAAAAGAGAACTCGGTTAATAAGCCACAAAAAAAAAGATGGGGTTAGAAGAGAAAAAAAAAAAAGAGGAAAATACTTGGATCCTCAATCAAATCAAAGCCATCTGTCATTTTAAACTCTCTCTATGCCTATAACCAAGTAACCAACTTTAACCTTACACCTATAACCAAACAGTTCCTCTATTTTACTTTTGATACATCCATGATTCACCATGGATGAGTTGAAAAAGAATGATCAAATGAGCAAGAAGGATAAGTAATTAAGCAGAAGTAATCAGTTAGTAATTAAGCAGATGTAATCAGTAATTACCTTTCCTGCAGCCTAACCCAGCAACGTATCCATCTCCACCAAAACCCTCCTTGCAGTTGCATCTATACCCTTCTGTCCCATTTGGCGATACGACCGTCGTACAATAGGCGTTCTTATCACACCCGCAAGTTCCCTCAAGCCACCACTCTAACTCCACCACTTCCAGCTCCAGCAACGACGGCGCCGAGGTATTCAAAAGTTGTGGCGACGGCGACGACATCGATGACAGCAAGAATTTGCAGTCCTTCTGCTTGACGCTCCCAAAGTTCAAAAATTGGACATCCTTTCTGGTCTCAGCGTAACAGCTGAGGCTGCTGTTGGCGCTGCAGTTGGGCGGCGCGTCGAACCGCGCCTGCACCAGAATGTTGGGAATCTCGCAGCTGCTCGACGGCTTCCCATCCGTACAGTTCTGTAAAAGAATCGCGTTCCGTGACGTCGGGGCGTAATTCCGGCTGTAGAGGTGGCGGAGGGTGTGGAGGGGGCGGTTGCAACGGCTCTAGAGATTGATTCTTATGCTCTCCTGGGTTATGGACTGGATTGGAAACCGCCCGATTGCGAATCCTCTGTTTGGAGTGCAGTTAAGCTGGATTTCGCAGCCCGATGAGAACCCGAAAGGGTACTGAATCGGGCTGGGACCGAAACTCGGGCACGATTGGTTGCAGTGATTTGATGCATGGATGGTGAGTAGTGGAAAAACAAGTACGGATAAAATTAGGGTGAAATAACTCATACCAAGTACGTAACAAAACCACAAGGTTTCTAAATTTGGTGTTTGGAAAATTAAATGAGTGAGCTTTTGGTTCTTCAACAAATGAATTTCCGGCCTTCAGAATACGATCTAATCTGCCGGCTTTTCAAATTATATATTTTAAAACTCATTGAGTTTTAGCACGGTTCATAAATAGTAAAAAGACGGAAATACCCCTCAAATTTTGACCTGTTTCTCTTGATGTTTCCACATTTGTACCGTCGAATTACTGTTTTATCCATTCACTCCACGCGTCCATCATCCAGTCACCCTCTATTTGGGTTGTGTCTTTTGAAAAAAATGTGAATTAAAACCGGTCACATGATGTGTGGCACGACAAACTATAAAAGTTTATAAAAAAAAATTAGATGCAGGGAGAGAAAATGATTAAAAATGGTGAGGCCGGCAGGGAGAGAATCTAATCTATGTGAGTGAATCTAATATATAAACTCATACTCTCACTGGGTTGTAGCTTTTGCTAATTGAACCTCTGTCATAACTTGAAGTGTTTTCACCTTTTTTTTTTATTGCAGTAAACGCAACACCATATGATTTCAAATGAAAGAAAATAAACCGTGTTTGATATTTTATTTGTGTTGAATACAACTTTTACTAGCTCAGTTCATGTGCCATCATCTTCTGCTACCTCAACCAACAGTACAGGATGAAAACTTTTCATGTTCCATTCGTAATCCTTTTTTTTTTTTGTATGTAAACATCTTCCTAACGTTTTCAATGTAAATAATATTAATCTTCTATGTCACAATTTTTTATGAAACAATCTTTCTTACAATTTTTAATCCCGCAGCAACACGAGCACTGTTTTCTAGTATGATCTAATCCGTGGACCAAACGGCACTTCTTAGGAGAAAACGAGAGTGCGACAAGGAATGGACTTTATAGCTTACACACTATGGTACATGACACGGGTCTTGACTTGGTTTTTTTCATGAGAAAAAGAAATAGGCGTTACTAAATGACAAGACAATTCGTTTTGAATCTTGGAATGAAAATTTGGCTTGAGACACGACGAGACAAAGGAGGATTAGTGATGATAATTAATCTTTGTTTATACTAACGGACCAAAATGAAAAGTTAAAAATCACGCTTGTATAGTGGATTTATGATTGCTCACTTTTAAAAAGAAAGAAAAAGGAAAATGAGGACATAACAAAAAATAATGAAGATAATATTACAAAACACGAGTGAGTTTTCTGAGTACTGTAATTTATAAAAGAAAAAATTGATTCAAATTTAAATGTAAGGAGATGAGCATGCTTCTTTGACCGGCTGGTCTAACTATATACTAGAATGTCGAGCGTTAAAACATGTACTTACAATTAAACGATGTATTAAAGTGATTAGATATATAGAAGATTTAATCAAGAAGATATGCGCCGATGATGATAATTCATAAACCCAACAAAGGAAAGCTAATATTTCAAATTTGTTTTTTTATACAACGATATATTTACATTAAGAGGTGAAAAAATTAATTGATATCGAACTTACTATTTATGAGATTAAAACTTAAAATTTCTCAATTACAAATGAAAAATAAAATCATTATATATTACACTAACTGACACTGATATTTCAACTTTATACATACTAACATCCCACATCGACCAACGGAGATGGGGTAATGTGCCTTATATGTACATACCTACCTCCATATAGCACGAGGTTTTTTGGGGACTCACTGGCTATGGATCTCATGAGAACTCCGAAGTTAAGTGAGTGCGAGCGAGAGCATTTCTAGGATGGATGACCTCCTGGGAAGTTCTCGTGTGAGTTCCCAATAACAAAATTGTGAGGGCGTGGCTCAAAGCGGAAAATATCGTGCTACGGCGGAGTCGAGATTAGGATGTGACAAAATGGTATCAAAGCCACTATGTCGTGTGGTGTGAGTGTGCCGACGAGAACGTTGGACCCCTAAGGGGGTGGATTGTAACATCCCACATCGACCAACGGAGAGAAGGTGATGTGCCTTATATATACATGCCCACTTCCATATAGCACGAGACCTTTTGGCGACTCACCGGCTACGGATTCCATGAGAACTTCGAAGTTAAGCGAGTTTGGGCGATAACATTTCTAGGATGGGTGACCTCCTGGGAAGTTCTTGTGTGAGTTCCCAAGAAAAGAACCGTGAAGGCGTGGCCCAAAGCGGACAATAACGTGTTACGGCGGAGTCGAGACTAGGATGTGACTTACTAACTGCGATCTTGTTTATGAACCCAGATTCTCTCCGGATCCCTAAAAACTGAGCCTAAGGACCAAGTGATTTGGGCCGTTAAAATTTGATCAAACGGCTACAAACATGGGGGATCCCTTTAAAGTTATAGTAATTGTAGCCGTTTGATTAAATTTCAACGGCCCAGATCACTTGATCCTTAGCTCAGATTTTGGATTCGGAGAGGATCTGGGTTCCTTGTTTACTATCAAAGCAGATATTTGATAATCCCAAAAAGGAAAAGCCAATGCCCCGAAAATAGGGCGAAATGACAATACATGCAAAGAGGATCCCGCACTAATAATAGAATAATGCTATTCTTACCACAATTTTATACCACATTTCTTTATCATCTTAGGTGGCAGATGAGTTGGACAAGCTACATAATTTAATTTCAATCTTTTTATTAATTAAAACACTTAAATAATCTTAGGTGGAAGAAGAAGACTCATCGTATACCACAATCATCATTTAATTAACAATCTTTTTATTAATTAACATTTTGAAATTAAATGTTAATTAATTTAGATGATGTGACTGTCCACATCAGATACCACCTAAGAAACAAAAGTGTTCTTTTGGGCAGCACCAGGTGGAATACCTTGGCCATATAGTATCTTGTGAGGGAGTCTTTGCGGATCCTGCAAAAATCCAAGCTATATTGGAGTGGCCTGCTCCTAAGAATGTGAAGGTGTTAAGGGGATTTTTGGGGTTAACAGGTTACTACAGAAAATTTGTACCTGGATATGGCAAAATCTGCCTGCCCTTGTACAAACTCACTGGAAGTGAGGGGTTCATGTGGTCAG